AAACTTGCTTGGTTGCTGAGTTGAAATACCCGGACAGACGAATACACAAACAAACACACACACACAAACATACACACACAGACAGGGTCGTTGCAACATGCGTTTTTGCAATTTGTATGTAGGCAAAAACGCATAAAAACGGTCGCCAAGCGGGAATTGTTTATTTCCCTTTATGCAAAATTTACGATGATTTACGGTATTGAACGCACAAGTTAGGTGTGGAGAAACAACCGTTCGTGCAGTTAACCTAATTACTTTAAGTTTGGTGCAAAAACGCGTGATCGCACCGGCTCGCCTGGTGCGTTCGAGCCTGAGTTTATTTGGTATCGGGCTGAACGAACAGAAAGTATTATGTTACCGAAACAGCTAGTATTTGCTTTGCAAAATAAATTTTCGAAGTTCCGCTCTGCTCCTTCGACCAATCAGAATAGTAGGGTCGGTCCAGTGCATTAGATTAGTTTTGCAGTGGCATATTGCAGGATGCATTTTGTACTTTAATGCTGTTGGAGTGTAAAGAGGTGGATGCTGCAGTTTTTATGTTCCGAAAAATAGCTTTTAGGCCCACATCCTCTTTGACTGCGAAATATGATGCACTTGCCGCTGGTTTTGGTGGATTCCTCATGTGAATAACGTTAGTTTTTCAGTGTTGAGAGTTGATGAGTTAAAAGTGATTTTCTTAACTCACGGTGCATTTTCAGGTGAACCTGAAGACCTGATTATGATTCCGAATAAGGGTGAGCTTTTTGAAATCGGCAATTTCATTCGCTTCTACAACGACAATGGTCATATTGTGTCGCCGATCCGAATAGATGATTTATTTCCGGTGCGCATCGCGGGCAGAAATTTACAGGTGTGTTTTTGCCCGAAGCAGTGGGCGAGAAGTATTGATGCCCGCGGTACAAAGCTGATTGGGTTGCTCTGTGCTACACCCTGCTTATCATTTGTATTACTGGGCTGATGATGAGATGCTAGCTATGTCGAGTTTGAAGCCTGTCACTGCAGGTATTAGCTCATCCAGCTTTGTCGATCTCTTTGATAATCCGATTCATCCTTTGCTTGCGTCAGTAAGCGCAGTGTTGCAGTCTTGGATAGAGTGATATGCGAAATTCCGGAACTCTGTCGAGTGTTTATTTAGGTTTATGCTCCGGTGGTTTTTCCACCAGTTCGACTTGGCGGTGAGACAGCGGCTGAAATACTTCCATGGTCACCAGATTTTGGCTATATTACGTGTTTCAAGTCGTTTTCCGTTGTACCTTGCCGCAACTACATGTACAGGGCTTGGTTTGAACGGTAAGAGTACTAGTTAATAAACCCTGTTTTTCTTTTTTTTTCTTTCATTCGCGGATTTTGTGGCTTGTTCGGGATAAAAATTTATAATTTTCTGGCGTCAAATGTCAGCCAGTATTTTCAAGCTTTATGTATGGGACATGCTACTGCATGCGAGCTGCCAGATTTTTGCAGGATACATTATTTGGCTGATCGTCATAATCACCCCGTTACTCATCTCGCGGTCACTGGAACGGTCTTTTACATCTCTAAAACCAAGCGTTTTTGACCTGAGTCTGGTGTCTTCTTTACACTTTCCTAATCTGGTAGGATTTTATGCATAGGAGATTTGGGCTGGATGAGGAAAGTGGGAAATAGTCATCCGACCTAGATTAAAAATTTTCGTCCCTTGAGGTGCAGGAATCCATCCCACCGGCCGCGAGAACAGGCGAATAAATTAATGCATATGTGTTTCCTTTCTTGTCCATGAATGCACGTGTGTTTCTTGTTCTTGCTTTTTTTATCTGCTGGTTGCTCTCTAGTAAATACAGTAAA